CAGATTCAAAATTACTTTTCCCAAACATTTTTCCCTTAATTTCAAAATCTATGTGTATATTCAAGAAAACACAATCCTTTTGTTTTGGATTCGTAACATTTAACTCGTCCACAGGCTCTGTCCCAGAACAACGGCTGACATTTGCTCTTTCGACAGAAGGCTACAGACACTGCCTCACTTCATCCTCTACAGATCCTGTGAAGTGGGTCTCATCACTTTCTTGCTAAAAAGACGAGGAAATTGAGACTTTGAGAAGTTAATTTGCCTGCACTCACAGCTAGTCTAACCTGGTGCCAGAACTCAATCCAAGCCTTCCCATCCCCAAACTTGGGGGTTCTCCTAACCAATCATCCTATAATTTGAAATCCATTTTATCTGACAGCCCTTCCCAACTATCATGTGTCAGGAAAAAAATGTGGCCAAGAAAAAAAAAAAAGGGTTGAACATCTAAAGGCACTAGAAAACTAAAAGTCACAGTCTATAGTGTACAAATCGCTCACCCATTTCTGAGCAGAATTAAGTACATCTTATCATTAAAAAAAAATAATAAAAATCAAGGGGCGCCTGGGTGGCTCAGTGGGTTAAGGCTTCTGCCTCAGGCTCGGGTCATGATCCCAGGGTCCTGGGATAGAGCTCTGAGTCGGGCTCTCTGCTCAGCAAGGAGCCTGCTTCTTCCTCTCTCTCTGCCTGCCTCTCTGCCTACTTGTGATCTCTATCTGTCAAATAAATAAATAAAATCTTAAAAAAAAAAAAATCAAGGAGACAAGAGCTCATGATAGAGAACAGCCAATGAATTCCAAATTTCCAACCAAACTCTGAGCCCCCTTACTCTCAGCCAGGAGACCAGTTGCTACCACAATACACTGACAGGAAAATCCCAGGGCCAGGAAATAACCAAAGGTTAAAGTTAAAAAAAAAGTATCTCCTTACATATTTGCAGACCACAACACTCTCCCCTTACAAACCTTTAAGAGTCTTTTTTAAGCAGAGGAGAACCAAGGCCCTTCCTCTTGAAAGAAGAAAGTGAACAGGGAACTTCCTCTCCATTATTAATCTATCAACTGTGGTTTCATATTGCATCACCATTAGGATAATAATTTCTGTTTTCTATCATTTAAGGTATGTTCCCAATAACCATCAGAGCCAATAAAACATCTCTGAGACCACGGCCTACATACGTTCATTATTAGGGCCTTTCTTGTTTTTAAAGCAGAGTAGTAGGCTAATAAGAAAGATCAGATTACTCTTTTCAAAGAAAATCATCGGCCCAAAATGACATAAAAGACTTCAAATTGGAAAGTCAGTGTTTGCAAGTCATGGAAGGAAATGTTATGGGGTAAAGATCGTGTTTAAAACCTCGAAATATCTGGACTAAAATCCATTTACTATTTACAAAACATAACATGGAGCTTTAAAAGCAACGAATCCATACCAGCAACAAACAGATTATTCAGGAATTTTCCTTGCGGTCCTAGCATGTTAGCACACTTGGCAGTTTTTAAGTAAACAATACCACCTAAATATGTGAGCACTCACTGTGTATGTGAAATATATTAGATGCCAAAAATAATCCTTCACTCACAATTGCACGTAACAAAGACTCAGAGAGCCGAAAGTCTTTTCTTCTGTCATTTACGTTGACTAAATAACCCTAAAGCTTAAAATCAAACACGTGAAACACACACATTGCGGTTCCTGGGTAAGAATACTAAATGCTTTCTAGGTTGATATGGGGTCTTCAATGTTAGAAAAATCAAACATGGCTTGTCTTCCCCAACCCCCCCCCATACAAGTCTCAGAACAATTTGTCACTTGTGTGTGTCATTTTAAATTTCAGCATTAAGAGTCAAATGCTTATTTAGAAGTCTGCTCCGTTTTTGAGCCATACATTTGGGGTGAGTGAATGTGTGTGTTTAAACAAAACTCTGTATGAGTGTTGTTCTAGCACGAGATACTCAGCTGAGAAAACGAGGAAAACAGATGTGCAAGGACATGCAATGGAATGTGCGTGGTTTGGCTGGAAGGTTCACAATTGGGAACAAACCGTAGCACATAATGGCTGGAAATTAAGTCAACCTAACACAGTACCAATAACAAAACTTTTTTGTTTGCCTGTTTTATTTTATTGCAATCATGAAATTGCAGACGGGAGTGGGGAAAATGCGTGTATTGCATCCGTTTGGTTCTTGATGCTAAACTCATCTTTAACCGTTCATGGGCAACTTCCTGAATTTCAGAGCTTTGTAAAGAAAGTCCAGGACACCCCTGGACGCAGGAGCAATCAGCACTAGCTATGATCAGATGGAAATGATTTTAATGTCCTTTGTGCGAACAGCTTCTGTGCAGGTATCGAGGTACCTCTGAAATGTTTATAAAGAGAGAAGAGAGAAAAGGAGACAGAACGGACAAAGATCAGATGACCATGGCCATGGCAGCCACCTGCTAGCACAGACACAAAGCGCCAGCAGCCCCACGTCCGCTGAAACCCAAAGTGAACCCGGACCAAAGCCCCCAGCCGAGCTGGGTGCCCACAGCCAAGTGTGGAGGGAAGCAGGAGGCCAGGTAGGAGTCTGCAGAACAAGTAAGAGGCTGGGTCATTCCAGCCCCTGGAGCAGGATCCTAGGGCTCCAAAGAGGCTGCAAACTGGTTAGGAAAACCTGCGGGAGGACCTGGGAGGGTTATTAGCATTGCTTAAGCAGAGCAATCGCTAAGAAAAAGGTTTTAGTTCTTGTCTTTAAATTTGTTTTCTAGTTTTCCTGGAATCTTCCGGAACGGCAATCCGTGCGTCAAACCACCAGTTACATTCTTCTTTTACTTGGTTGGGTCTTTATATTACCCAATACATATCAGAAGTTAATGAAGCCCTTAGGAGATACAGGAACACTGGGGACAGAGAGCTGCTGGAACAGCCCTCCTGCAGGCCTGTGCCCCACAAAACTCATGAACATCTGCCCCAAATAGGGCAGGTTCAACCCCACCCCCACCTAGGCGCAGGGGACAACGTGTGTTTCAAGGACACGGGCCGCTCAGGGCCAAAAGCTGGCGGGGTTTGGTTCAGGGTCCGTGACTGGTTCAGAAGACAGGCCTAACTTGGCAAATCTAGACCGCTCCTTCTAGACTGGCTAATGTCCTCGACGGACGGCTGGGCTCCCATGGGGCTGGTTAGGTTGGTTCTGTTCTGAGTCACCCTAAACAGGTTCATGAGAGGAGCCTATGGTCAGTGTGGCTCAGGACAAACCCGGTGGCACCGAAACCCTCCCAGGCATGGGTGGGGCCGGCAGGAGCAGCAGTGCCTTCACTGGGACAGACGGACCACGGGGGGACAGCGCCTTCCCAGGGGTCCCCACAGGACGGCCAGCTGACACTCGTTCTCCTTCTCACCTGTTTTCACACACCCACGTGCACACTCGTATGCACACAGGCTCACACATGCCCACACACTTCCACACACTCTCACACACCCTCACACGCTTGCAAGCTGTCAAGATAACCAAAGTCGATGTTTCCTGAAGCTTAACACCCAACAGAGCTTATTCCTGTGACGTCCCTGTGGGAAATGATCGGACAACCTACCCTGCAGGTGCTGACTCTATCTCTGAAATAAGAAATTTGCCTAATTTTTACGAATTCCAGGAAAAAAAGAAACGAGGGTCCCGTAATGTTTTTTAAGGCAAAAGCGGGGGTTTCTATAAGCACACCAGAAGAATGACACAACAATCCAGCCCCACTAAAATAAGACCCAGCCCGGACTTCAAATACCACAAATAAAGGGAGAAACAGGGACAAATTTCCACAGGTATGGAAATTCATTATTTTAACTCAGATGTGAATAGATGTCCCCGAGCATCAATTCAAAACTGGACTCATAAGTGGCGGATTGAACGCCAGCCTGTGCCGTGGCCCAGCAAAGCCAACAACACATACTGGTGACAGTCAGGAATGGGAGTCACGGACAGGGATGGGCACAGGGAGCAGCGCGGCCAGGCTCCTGGGTGTCAGCTTGGACAATGCCACAGTCAGGAAAGGAAGGTGCGCTTACCTTCCAAAGTAGATTCTGACTCTCCAGGGGTATGCAAAATATATATATGTATATAAGTTACAAATAAATTAAAGCCCATAGGGAGGGAGGAAGTAGGTTGGCTCGTGCCAATCAGTGTGCCCAGGTGTGCAGCACCCAAAAGGCAGGAGAAAAGACCCGCTCATTCTTTTCAAGGGCACATGGAAAAGGGGAAGGGCGATGGGAGGAGGCTGGGGAGGCTAGGAAACCTACAAAAAGTAAAGGCACCAACTGGCCTAGGAGAGTACAAAAGCGGGAAAAGGAAGCGGTCACCATTAACCTGTTCAATCTGGGCTCTGGAATTTGTTTGCCGTGCTCCATGCTTGAATTGAAATGCCTCTCGACATTGTGCTTAAAATATTAAAAAAAAATATATCGCCCCTAAACAGCAGCTAGGTATTACCTGTCAACACAATTAAGTCCATTTCTATAAGCCAACAGCAAAACCTGTGCCTCAGACACCAGTGTCACCTTGAGGTCCAATCATGAACAACTTTTAAAATCCTTTTGAGCAAACTGCATGGAGTTGGTGGGGGAGACACGGATCCTCCCACCAAATCCTGACAAGGCAACTTCAGTGTCTTTTGTGATAACTAATAACTAATTATTCCAACTAGTGTAGACTTTCCATGTGAAATGCAAAGTATTTTGAACTCTTGCCAGACTAATCAAGATGATTTCCAGAATGCCACAACAGAAACTTCCTATAATAAATAAGCTATCACATTTACATCTCAAATTAGAAAATTTGGAAGAAAACATGTAGTTTCAGTGCCAAAGTAGAGATTACTAAAGCCTGCCCATCCCTCACCCCCCTTTTGCTTTCTTTAGCCTCTAAAAGAGCAAACCCTGGTCCAGGTGCAAATGTTCAGTGTACAAGGAATGCAGAGAACACAGAAGCGACTCTAGGCGTGGCTGCTGGAGATCCCCCGTGGCTGCTCACCATTGGAAGTGGTGCTGGAGGCCACGGCTTTCTCGCTGACATCTGTTCGCGTGGAGCATTTCACTATGGAATTCTCCACTTTCTTCTTCTCAGTGGTCGTGGAGCTGTGGGACTGGGCCTCCATGATGCCTTCTCATTACTTCAGCTCTCTGCTACCAGGAACGCCTGAAACAAAACAATGGCGCCATCAACTTCCAGCAAGGGTGGGCAAAAAAAAATCTCACTTAAAAGTTCACTTTGAGGGAGCGCCTGGGTGGCTCCGTGGGTTAAGCCTCTGCCTTCGGCTCAGGTCATGATCTCAGGGTCCTGGGATCGAACCCCGCATCAGGCTCTCTGCTCAGCAGGGAGCCTGCTTCCTTCTCTCTCTCTCTCTGCCTGCCTCTCTGCCTACTTGTGATCTCTGTCAAATAAATAAAATCTTTGAAAAAAAAAAAAAAGTTCACTTCGCCTTTGGCCGGAAGGGGAGCCTAGAGCTTTAGCAAGTTCAAGAACCTTGCCCACAGGTTTTCTTGCAAAAAACACCTCCAAGCTGTAATAACAAGCCAGTCGAATTCTGTCTACACGTGCAAAAGGAGAAGGGAGGGAACTATCCATAACATGAGACTCTCCCCAAATTCCTACTGGACATTTGTTATTAAGTAGTCTAAAGATCTCAATTTTCAGCTGTGTTTACAGTGTGAAACCCAAGGGTTGCATGGCTTTCTTATGCCACATCTACTAATGTCTCTTCAGGTGGCCAAATTTATAAGGAGTGGCATGGTGACGACTTTCCAAAAAAGGGGAAGGTTTTTGAGTATTAATTAGAAGTTTCAAAGAGCATGGCCATTTCTCAAACCCAAGCCCAACTCCCAAGTTTGGAAGCAGAGAGTGATGTGGGCCAAGAAGCCCGTGATATTATATGCTCCCCTTTTCTGAGCTACCTGAACAGCAATCTGCCCCTCCATCGTAATTCACGGAGGTGAACCATACTCTCCAGGCTTTCTTAAACACATGAGAACGTTTCAATTCACTCATGCTACATTTTGAAAACCAATGAAGGCAACAGAACAACGTGCTCTGGAAGCCACAGGAAAAGTCAAAAGATTGCCAAGAGCCAAGACGGGAGACCACTTAAGAAATACGAAAACCCAGCTACAAACAAGTGGGGCGAGTGGGTCCTCTTTCACTGGCTGCTTCATTCATGCGATAATTGTCCTAACTCATCATTCATCAATTTTCACTCTCTCTGGTTCTTTTTTTTTTTTTTTTTTTTTTTTTTTTTTTTTGCAGTCATGAGCTGCACCTACCAAGAATGCAAGATGAAAACAGTCCTCTCCAGCACAAGTTTTCCTCAAGCTGTCTACAATGCAACACTCATGGTGGGCATTAGCAGACGCCACCGTATTCAATCCAAACAACGATAAGTGAAATAAAATAAAATAAATAAAAACTGCTTAACCGACTGAAAGGGTTGAAATACCAGATGAAATCTTTCTAGTCATCCTTAACTCAGGGATTTAATTGCAAGGGAATTGCCAAGTCTTTCTTTATTGTGTGAGCCATTCTCCCTTTGGTCTGGAATTCAAGTAACTGGGAAGGCTTAAGGTCCAGAGGCTGCTAAGAGCTAGAGAACTCCCTCTTCTGCTAACTTCCATTTCTTTGCCTTGATTATCCACTGTCATTCATTGTAAAACACACAAGTTACTTAAGAACAGCTTTTCTAGAACAAAAAAGAAAAAAAAGCAGCACTGAGTTGAATTTGCATATCAATTGTGAGATCCACTCCAAATTCAGAAACATCCCTCAAAGAGGGCTCACAAAGTCCCAGAGCAAAGGAGCTGCTGAGCTTTCCACTGGGCTGAGGCCAGGCGCTGGTCCAGAGGCCCTAGCCTCTGCAGAGACTGGTACCTGAGTGGTGCCCCCTGGAGTTACCCTGCGTCTCAGTTTTCTCATCTGCCACATGACCAGAATCACACCCGGGTACTTGGGACTTAACCTTGGGGGAAGGTGGGTACAGTCCTCTTTAAGAGTATGTTTAAAGTCATGGATCAGGATGCCTGGGTGGCTCAGTGGGTTAAAGCCTCTGCTTTCAGCTCAGGTCTTGATCCCAGGGTCCTGGGATCGAGCCCCACATTGGGCTCTCTGCTCAGCGGGGACCCTGCTTCTTCCTCTCTCTCTCTGCCTGCTTCTCTGCCTACTTGTGATCTCTGTCTGTCAAATAAATAAATAAATAAAATCTTTAAAAAAAAATAAATAATAAAGTCATGGATCCTCTCCCCCAGAAAAACACCCTTTAACACACACCAAAGAGTGTACATTTGATTTCCAAAGGATCACAGGCCCTCCAAGCTCTTCCATGAACCCAGACAGAGGACCCTTAAAGGAGAGACTTTGGACAGTCTCTTTTTGCTCTAACGATCTCAGAACGATTCTAATTTTTCGGAAAGCTCCCCCCAAACTGATGGAAAGGTCATCTTTATGGTATGCCATGAGAACAGTCCAACCCAATCCAGAGCACTGATTCCCAAGGTCGGACAAGAGCCACCCAGATCAGTGTTGCTACAGTGCTTGCAAGACATTCAGATTCCCAGGACCAGTCCCCAATGTCTTGGAGGTAGTGCCCGGAACTTTTATTTTAGCCAGCACCGGTAAGCACCTGGCTCACCAAAGCTTGCGGACAACATTTCCACACAGTTCTCCTCACTGATATGTACCCAGTGCAACAGATACCCTGTGAAGCTTTTCCAACCGGATAAAGAAACGATGAATGGCACCCCAGACTACTGAACTTTTTTTTTTTTTAAAGATTTTATTTATTTATTTGACAGAGATCACAAGTAGGCAGAGAAGCAGGCAGAGAGAGAGAGAGAGGAGGAAGCAGGCTCCCCGCTGAGCAGAGAGCCCGATGTGGGGCTTGATCCCAGGACCCTGAGATCATGACCCCAGCAGAAGGCAGAGGCTTTAACCCACTGAGCCACCCAGGCGCCCCCAGACTACTGAATTTCAACAGCCTGCCCTGAGCCTTTCCCAGCGCCCATCACAATAATGAAGTCATCTTCCAGAATCTTTACCGAATGGCTTCATGCTCAGCTTCCCCTCCAGATCCTAAGCTCCATGAAGACAAGCGCCATGTCTTATCTTCCTAGCACCTCATACCCCTAAGAATATGTACCAAGTAAACACATGATCCTGAGAGGACCTGGTGACCCGGACAATTCTGTAGTGTCTTCAATTTTGATCACCATTGACTGCACTACGTATCTTTTCTTTTATATCCAGTGTTCCTTCAAAAACTGACATATTCCACAAAAACTAGTTTTTAATCTAGTTTTACCTAGTTTTTAAGAGGGATATTTCACCAAAACACTCCATTCGCACCCATTTTGGATAAACAGGCATTTACTCTAATTGTTCCCCTCAAAACCCACCATACAGTTTTATTGGTCGAATCTGGATGGAGTTTGCTAAGTTAAAACTGCACATGGAAACAAGCCAATGGACCAGAAAGAAGAAAAAATCATGAAGAGATGGGATTCCTTCCTGGCTAAGAAGTAAGTCTCTCTTTTAGTAGAGGGAGCTAATTAACACTAGTGAGGTGACAAGTCACCAAAGTTCCTTGACAAACTTAGGTTTTGTGGAGTTGTTGGTTTTTCCCCCCAAGCAAAGGACTTCCTTTTAACAAAGCAATAAACCCTCCAAGTACTCATCACCAGAGAGAGAGGCTCACGTGAGAAGAGGTAAAGCCCCAGGCACTGACTGAAATTGCACTAATTAATGGTCTTAGAGAATACTAATTCCTACCCCCTCCCCCTGTTTGAAAGGGATTTTTTTTTAAATGGGCCCTTGGTCACTCAAGATCTACCCCCTTCTTCTATTTTGACAACTTATTTTTGGATCTCATTAGTTAGTAACTAATTATTTAAAAGTGTGGTTTAGGCTTGGAACAGGACTATAAAAATGGCAACTTGCCAAGGTAGACATCTGCTTCCTGTATATCCCTCTAAGTTCTATCAGCTTATTTTACTGATAAAAACACAACTTTGTGCCTGTCCATTACAAAGGGGAAAGTTTTAACATTCTAGGCTCTCACACCTCATCAAAACTATGCATGAAGAGTTAGCAGAAAAGGGTCTACTTCTAGCTGCACTGGCAGGTTTGATTGTGGTTTTTTTTTTTTTTTTCATAGAACATTAAGCCCAGTTTGGAAACTCAGTCCTGATTTGATATTTGAGGGCCTGAGATACAGAAGTGACCAGTAAAACTTCGTTGTGGGATCTTGAAACTAACTGAAACCAGGTTTTAAAACCTGGGATTTCTTAAAATAAGAACATATAATTTGTTTAGAACATAAGTTGCGAGGAAAACTTTTCTGTTCTGCTTCACTTCAAAGATTTTCCTCTGAGGAAAACATGCCACTGGTTTTTAGATGGGAATGAAAGGCGACTTTGCCCACCCCACCCCCACCCCTCCGCGTTTCCTCCTCTCAGAGCTCCACACTGCTCCTAGGCCCCTTGTAGCACTTGCAACATTACCAGCGAGGTTTGCTGGCATGCCCCTTCACTTTTTATGCTTATGGGGGGGGAAAAAACTATTTGTAGCTGAGAGGCTGAAGTCCCAGCGGCTGGAGTATATGAACAAAACAAAACCGCCAAGGAACTCGCAGTGCATTAAGTAAATAAATATTGGGATAAAAATTCCTTCCTGAAAGCAGTCAAGGCTTCTCCCCCTTCAGCTGTCCCTGAACCTTTGGCATTTCCCGGAGGCCTAAACCCAGGGCACAATTCATTCCAGATCTTATTCTCAAACCTACTCGTTCACCCACCAGCAACCTGCCTGCAGGTGGTCTTCTGTCTCTGAGTTATAAATCCGAACCTGCATCAACCTCCTACACCAGGAAGCCTCTGCACGCTTGCTGGGGCCCCCGACCAGGTCAAGGTGGAGTTCGTGCACGGCTCCACGTGCAACAGACCCCACCAGGCCAGGCCTGTGGGGACTTACGTTTGAAACGGCGCTTTCGCACAGAAAGCCTCCAGGGGCCCTGTCTTTGGAGCTGCAGTGAAGAAAACAAAAAACAAACAAACAAACAAAAAAACAAAAACAAACAAACAAACAAAAAAAACAGAACAAACCCCCAGGAACTTTGATCGCGGCAAAGACAAGTCCCGGTTACTGTCATCCTTCGGCAG